CCAGATTGTTTGCTTAGCATACAGATTGAATAAGTATAGTAAAAGAATACAACCCTGGCATACACTTTCCTAATATTAAACCATTCAGTATCACCTTGTTCTGTTTGAATGAGTGCCTTTTGGTCTATATACAGGTTCCTCATGTTCCAGAATACTCATTCTCCACAGTGTTGTACATAGCTTGTCATAATCCACACAGTTGAAAGCTTTTGTGTAATCAATAAAGCATGTATAAACATCTTTCTGGTATTCTTTGCTTACAGCCAATATTCATCTGACATCAGCAATGATAGTCCCTTATGCCATGTCCTTGTCTAAAACCGGCTTGAACCTCTAGCAGTTCCCTGTCAGTGTACTGTTGCAGTAATTTTATAATTATCTTTAGTCAAATTTTACTTTCTTGTGATATTAATGATTTCCACATTCTTTGGAATGGGCACAAATATGGATCTCTTCCAATCAGTTGGCCAGATAGCTGTCTTCCAAATTTCTTGGTATAGATTAGTGAGTGCCTTCAGTGCTTCATCAGTTTGTTGAAAGATTTCAAATTGTTCCATGTTTAATTATTTCAAGAGATACTATATAATCAAGAACTGATAATATTTTAAAAAGAAGTCAGAGCTTCACTGAAAGCATTAGCAAAAAACAAGGCTGTGGGAATCAACAGAATACAAATACCAATGTTTCAACAAACTGATGCAGCACTAAAGGTGCTCCTTTATCTAAACAAAGAAATTTGAAAGACAGTTACCTGGCCACCTGATTGGAAAAGATTCATATTGTAACCATTCCAAAGAAAGGTTATCCAATGGAATGAGTGTATCATCAAAAATATCATTAATATCACATGCAAGTAAGATTTTGCTGGTAATAATTCAAAAACAATTGTAGCAGTACATCAACAGCTGCCAGAAATTCAAGCCAGACTCAGAAGATGATGTTGAACTAGGCATATCATTATTGAAATCAGGTAGACCTTGAGAATACAAGAAAGATGCTTCCTTGTGCTTTACTGACTATGCAAAGGCATTCGATTGTGTGGATCATAACAAATTATGTATACCATTGCAAAGAATGTGTATTCCAGAGCACTTAATTATACTCATGAAGAATATATACGTAGACTAGGAGGCAATCATTCAAACAGAACACGGGGATGAATGGCTTAAAACGAATGGCTTAAAACAGGAAAGGTGTGTTGCTGGGTTGCATACTTTCAACATACTTATTCAATGTATCCCAGAAACTGGATTATATGAAGAACATGACATCAAAATTAGAAGAAAAGTCATTAACAACCTGTGATATGCAGATGAATTAAAAGTGAAGCAGATTTAAAATACTTACTGAAGAACATCAAAGATTAGAACCTTAAATATGGATTGTGGCTCAAGGTGAAGAAAACAAAAATCCTCACAACTGGACCAATAAATAACATCATGATAAGTGGAGAAAATATTGAAGTTGCCAAAGACTTTGTTTTGCTTGGTTCTACTATCAACACTAATGGAAGCAAGAAATTAGACCTATTGCATTAGGCAAATCTGCTGTACAAGATCTCTTCAAAGTGTTAAAGAGAAAAGATGTCACTTTGAGGACTAATTCTCCTGACCCATGATATTTTCAGTCACCTCACATGGATTTGAAAGTTGGAAAATTAATAGGGAAGACTGTAGAAGGATCAATGCATTTGAATTATGGTGTTGGCAAAGAATATTGAAAGTATCATGAACTGCCAGAAGAACCAACAAATCTGTCTTGGAAGTACACCTCAAATGCTTCTTAGATGTGAGAATGTGAAGGTTTCACCTCTCATTCTTTGAACACGATGTTAGGAGGAAACAGTTCCTGGAGAAGAACATCATGCTTGGTAAAGTGGATGGTCAATGAAAAAGAAGATACTCAAGGAGAAATGTGATATGCAGATGATACAACCTTGCTTGCTGAAAGTGAAGAGGACTTAAAATATTTACTGATGAAGATCAAAGAGCACAGCCTTCGGTATGGATTATATCTCAATGTAAAGAAAACAAAAATCCTCACCACTGGACCAATAAACAACATTCTTATCAACGGAGAAAAGATTGACGTTGTCAAGGACTTCGTTCTTCTTGGATCAACTATCAGCACTCACAGAAGCTGCAGTCAAGAGATCAAACGAAGAGTAGCATCTGCAGCAGCTATAGAACCAGACTCAGCTGATTTTCGCTCAGTGAGTGCAGCTATGGAGCAGCCCAGGAAGCTGCCCAAAGGGCAGAAGTACGACGGCAGCTGAGGTTATGGGGTGATCTTGGGCAAGAGGCTTTGGAATCTGCTCATGTTTGTTTAATAAATGCAATAGCCACAGGGACTTAAATTCTTAAAAACTTCTTTCTACCAGGTGTTGGTTCTTTTACAATTATTGTTGGAAATCAGGTCAGTGGAGAAGATGCTGGAAACATTTTTTTTTTTCCTTCAAAGAAGCAGTATCGGCAGGAACCAAGCTCAAGCCGCTATGGAATTCTTACAAGAATTAAACAATGATGTCTCTGGAAGTTTTGTGGAAGAGAGTCAAGAAAACCTTCTAGACAATGATCCTTCATTTTTCTGTAGGTTTACCACTGTGGTTGCAACTCAACTCCACAAAAGTACATTACTACATTTAGCAGATATCCTCTGGAATTCTCAAATCCCTCTTTTGGTCTGTAGGACATATGGATTAGTTGGTTATATGAGGATCGTTCTAAAAGAACATCCAGTAATAGAATCTCACCTAGATAATGCATTAGAGGATCTACGACTAGATCAGCCTTTTCCTGAGTTGAGAGAACATTTTCAGTCTTATGATTTGGATCATATAGAGAAAAAGGATTATAGCCATACTCCATGAATTGTGATCATAGCTTAACATTTAGCAGTGAGACAAATGGATGAATACCTAAAACATATAAAGAAAAAGAGGACTTCAGAGATGTGATCAGACAAGGAACTCTGAAGAATGAAAATGGAACTCCAGAAGATGAAGAGAATTTTGAAGAAGCTATTAAAAATGTGAACACAGCGCTAAATACAACTCCGATTCCAAGCCGTATTGAAGATATATTTAATGATGATCGCTGCATAAATATCACCAAACAGACCCTCATCATTTTGGATTTTAGCTCGTGCCTTAAAGGAATTTGTGGCCAACGAGGGTCAAGGAAATTTACCTGTTCGGAGCACAATTCCTGATATGATTGCAGATTCAAGCAAATATATAAAACTGCAAAATGTTTACCATGAAAAAGAAAGATGCTGCTGCTGTGGATAATAATGTTGCTAAATTGCTGCAGTCTGTGGGCCAGGCGCCAGAGAACATCTCAAAGAAAGAATTTAAATTATTCTGTAGTAATTTCTGCATTTCTTCGTGTGGTAAAATGTCACTCTTTAGCTGAAGAGTATGGTTTGGATACAATTAACAAGGATGAAATTATTTCCAGTATGGACAGTCCAGATAGTGAGATAGTATTGTACTTAATGTTACGGGCTATTGATAGATTTCAGAAACAACATGGTAAATAGCCAGGGGTATCTAACTATCAAGTTGAAGAAGATATAGGAAAGTTGAAGTCTTGTCTCAGCGGCTTCCTTCAGGAATATGGATTATCTGTAATGATGAAAGATGACTATGTCCATGAATTTTGCCGATCTGGAGCTGTTGAACCACACACCATTGCTGCTTTCTTGGGAGGTGCTGCTGCTCAAGAGGCTATCCAGATAATCACCAAATAATTTGTAATTTTTAATAATGGTTACATTTATAGTGGTATGTCGCAAACATCAGCAACTTTCCAGTTGTAGAAAAAGTAGAGTGTTAATGATTGAAACTGTAATTGCCTTCAGGCTGTGCTCTAGACTGTAAAATTCTGCTAAATTGTTTTCTTTTCTTTTTTTTTTTTTGAGCCCCATTGTATACAAATATATATAGAGAGACAGAAAGATGACTGGATGCTGAAGGCTGGGTTAGAATGCGGGGGCTACAGGTATAGGGTTTTCTGAGGTGATGAAAATGTTTTAAAAATTGATTACAGTTATAGTCATCCAACTCTTACTATACTAAAAATTATTACACACTTTAAATGGGTACATGTTATGGTATGTAAATTATATTTCAATAAAGCTGTTACACACACACACACAAAACAAAACAAAACAAAACAAAATTCCTCCAGAAGTTCAGAGCTTTCCAATGTCTAGTCTGGGTCCTGGTTGAGGGGAGAAGTCTGAAGGTATGTGGGGTCAACACTCCTTTGTAGCAGTCATAAACCATGCTTGAATTATCGGCTTGAGGACTTTCCAAATCACATTGGTGATACGAACTCCACTTAGACATGGTATGAGGGCCAGCTGTGGCTACATGCTACTGGGAAAACGGTTTGTCCCACTTTCTATCCACCCTTGCATCCAAAACCAAGCTAACCAGGGTGAGTTCTCCTTTGTGGAACTGTTTCTTCCTCTAAATAATGGTGTCATCTTTTAGGGACCCAGATTTAAACAGGAGAGTTTTAAATCTAACTCCCTACTTTGTGTCTTATGGTTGGTTGCCTACCCCACCCCACTAGATGGCCCACCCAAACATAACTATATGCCACCCACAAATCCTACCAAAAAGCAGAATAAAATGAGTGGCCTGAATGTTAGGAATGTTTATAAAGTGTCTCCTGCATACAGTTCCAGCCCTGGGAGGCATCAGCAGACTTTGTGGCCCTCACTGGCCCCTTCCTCTATACTAGAGACATATCAGCTTATGGTAATGGAAGGAGAAGGGCAAGCAAAGTGATGAACCGGATCCAAGCAGAAGCAGTTTGGCATGGAAGGCATCTAGGCCACTTTTCTTACCGGCCCTAAAGGCAGTCCAAGAACCTTTTAGTCTTCTTTGAGCCAACCTAGTTTAAGTGCAGCTGTGATACTGCCTTAGGCCAAGAGAACAGGCCAAACCCATGTGTCACTGAGGCAGTGGCAAAGCTGAAGACAGTTCTTTATTACTCTTTGCTCAAGGGAAGATGCCTCCTGTCCTTGCCTGCATTTCGGCGCCTCTTTCGACTCAAGAAGCTCTCCAGCTTCTTACTGCGTTTCAGCTCCTTGAACTTCTCAGCTACGGTCAACTGACGCTGCTCAGATTTTTTCAGGAAGTACGGCCGGTGGCCCTGCTGGGCCTGAGCCCGCCGCTCCTTTTTCAGGGCCAGGCATAGCTCCTGCTGCTGCTTTCGATCCTGCTGTGCCATTTCTTGCTGTTCTAATCGCTGAAGCAGCAGCTGCAGTTTCTCATGCTCCGCCCCAGAACGATGCTTCTTTAATTGCTTTTTCACAATCTCTTTTTCTTTGGCTCGAATATCATTCAGAAATTGATATGTTTTGTCAAACACCTCAGGATTATATTCCCCTGAGAGGTCATCAAAGCGGGGGTCCCGGGTCACCTTCTTACTGACCGGGACAACTTGACGCAAAAATGGCACCCGGGCCTTGGCCGACATTTCCAAAGGCTTGTGTTTATCTGCAACACACGCATTTTGGCCAGGTGGTCTAGAATCTTGCTTCCTAGTGTTGTTTCCAGCTACCAACTGCTTATACTTCTTAGTCCCCACTTGGCTCTGTAATTCCAACAGCTCTTCAAATGACATGTTGGATGTGCCCTTCCGCAGGTCCCGGGTCGCGGCCCCAGGTTTTAGGCCTCCGCCGCCCTCCCCGCCGCATCGGGGCCGGAAGGAAGACCTAAATTGTTTTCTTAATAAACACTTTTCTCATTTATTAAAAAAATAAAGAAAGAAAGAAATCAAACAACATATTGCATTAGGCAAATCTGCTGCTTTAAAGTGTGGAAGAGCAAAGATGTCAGCTTGATGACTAAGGTGCGCCTGACCCAAGCCATGGTATTTTCAATAACTTCATATGCATGCAAAAGCTGGACAGTGAATAAGGAAGACCATAGAAGAATTGATGCTTTTGAGTTATGGTATTGGAGGAGAATATTGGAAGGGCCATTGGCTGCCAAAAGAACCAATAGATCCATTTTGGAAGTACAGTCAGAGTGCTCCTTGGATGCCAAGATGGCCAAACTTTGTCTCTCATACTTCGGACATATTGTCAGGAGGGACCAGTCACTAGAGAAAGATATCATGTTTGGTAATGTGGAGGATCAGAGAAAAAGAGGAAGAACCCCAATGAGATGGATTGGCCAAGTGTCAGCATCGATGGACTCAAGTGTGGCAACGTAGCGAGGTTGGCCCAGAATCGGGCAGTGTTTCGTTCTGCTGTGCATAAGGCCACTATGAGTTGGTACCAACTTGATGGCAACTAACAACAACCCAAGGAGACGGATTGATAAGGCAGCATCACCAATGGGCTCAAACAAAATAATAATTGTGAGGATGGCAGAGGACTGGGCAATGTTTCATTCTGCTATGTATAGGGAGACTATGAATCTGAATCAAGGGCACCTAACAACAACAACAACAACAACATTCACCATATATCTATATTCTTTGATGAAGTTTCTATTTAAAATTTTGGTCATTTTAAATTGGTTTTTTTTTTGGAAAGCTTTAAAATTACTTTCTCTATTCTGAATCCAAGTTCTTTGTCAGCCGTGTAATTTGTAAATATTTTCTCCCATTTTGTGGCTTGTGTTTCCATTTTCTTCATTACCTTTCACAGAGCAATATTTAAAAAAATTTGATGAAAGACTAACTTACCAGTTTTTAAATTTTATAGACCATACATTTGGTGTCATATCTATGAACTTTCTGTCCAACTCATGATCACAAATATTTTTCACTATGTTTTCTTCTGAAAATTTTATAGTTTCATATTTTACATTTTGATATCCATTTGAGGCTAATTTTTATAAGGTATAGATTAGGGTCGAATATTTTTGCAAATGGATATCCAATTATTCCCATTAAAAAGACCATCCTCTCTCTGTTGAATTGCCTTTGCATCATTGCTAAAAATCAGTTGACCATATTTCAGCTCACTTATTTCTGGGAACAACAGAACGGAACACTGCCCAGTCCTGTACCATCCTTACAATTATTGTTACGTTTAAGCCCATTGCTGCTGTCACTGTGCCAATCCATCTTGTTGGGGTTTTCCTCTTTTTTGTCAACCCTCCACTTTACCAAGCATGATTTCCTTCTCCAGGGACTGGTCCTTCCTGATCATATGCCTGAAGTATGAAAGATGAAGTTTCTCCATCCTGGCTTCTAAGGAGCATTCTGGCTGTATTTCTTCAAACACAAATTAGTTAGTTCTTCTAGCAGTCCATTAAAATATACTTTTAATATTCTTCTCTACCATCATAACTCAAATGCTTCCATTCTTCTATAAACTGACATCTATGCTCTTTAACACTTCAAAGAAGTCTTGCGCAACAGATTTGCCTAATGCAATACCTTGTTTGATTTCCTGACTGCTGCTTCCATGAGTGTTGCTAATGGATCAAGCTAACAAAGTCTCTGACAATTGCAATCTTTTCTCCATTTATCATGATGCTATTTATTGATCCAGTGGTAAGGAGTTTTGTTTTCTTTACACTGAAGTGCAACAAATACTAAAGACTGTGGTGGTTGATCTTCATCAGTAAATATTTTAGGTACTCTTCACTTTTAGCAAGCAAGGTTTTATAATAATACCTGCCACATAAATCATGCTTCACTGTCTTAAAACCAGTTCATTCATATTATTTAACTTTATCTCACCATAGTCCTGTAAGATATCTTGAGAGTATGATGCTATTACGCCCGTTTGATATAAAGCCACTAGAACTCAAAGGAACCAAATGGCTTACTCAAGGTCTCATGGCAATTGGAATCATGTCTTCTAAGTTTAAAACTGTTGATAACACACTCAAAGAACTGGTAATAAACATAGGGATGTTCTGACTGAAGGAAGGCCTTTGGAAATCAAGGAGTACCTATCATTATTACTATTAGCTTTATCGTAACATAAAAGCATTACAAATGCATTACATTATTGGGTGAAAAGCTTCAACTTGATTATGCTATTATTTAACATAAATATCTTCCATGGTTTTCCATGACTGAAGGTGAAGTTCAGGCATAGATTACCTTTCATATCTTGGCCTCACCTCACTTTTTTCTGGTCTCTTTTCTTTATTATCTGTTTCAGTCACTATAATTTTCAACATTCCCAAACACCCCAAGTCACTTCAGAGCTTAAATTTCTCTTCTCTCCAGTTTATGCCTCTTCTGCCTCACCATGAGCACATGGAACAGGGAATTACCCATGAAGTTACCATGAGTGAAGTAATCTCACCTAGACAACTTTACCAGATTTTTGCGTTTTTTTGTTTTTTGTTCTTTTCCTTTTCCATGTGTCTGCTTCTCTTCCCCACTAAACAGTGAGCTCCTAGAGAGATGGGGGCCAGTTTTCATTTGTCTGTGAATCCACAGTTCTCAGTTTAGGGCTAGAGTCATACACAGTAAGCATCTATCAGTATGTGAATTAATAAACTACAACAAAAAGTACTTTCATGTATGTTGTTTTTACGGTTTTATAGTTGCAAAACACTCTTTTTTATGTCATTTACTAACCCTTTACTTTCAAACTCTCAGAAAAATGCTAACTTCTCCATTGTTGTTAGCTACTGTCATGTTTATTCTGACTCATGATGGACCCCAAGTGTACAGGGTGTTCAAGGTTTTGCATTTTCGGAACTATACCCCTAGGCCTTTCTTCTTAGGTATCTCTGAGTAGGTTTAAACCATCAACATTTAGGTTACTAGTTCAACACTTAACATTTGTGTCATCCAGGACTCCTAATTCTTCATTTATATATGTCAACTAAATAATGAGCAAATTAGATGATGAATGCAATACATTTGTGTATCACTGTTTAATAACTACTCTCACTTTAAAACTTATATCAGTCAATTTCATATGCAATTAGCCCCTAACTTTACTGTATTTAAATTTATAAATTCACAAACTTAATCCCTAAAACAAATTTGTGCATAATGTTTAAAATTTGTCAAGAAAGCTGAATGAAAGGAAAGGTGTGAGCAAATATAACTTGCCAGGTTAGATATTGATTTCATCATTTCTAACCTGGGAAAATAAAATCAATGTTTAACATGGCAGTCAAAGACTAATGATGGGGGCTAAATGAGCTTCCTGTGTGTACTCATTCTGATGAAAAGTGAAACAAAAGGGATCCACTGTGGATTATATCTGTGGAACAGTTGATTAAACCTGCATGCACCATCATGGTGTGACTGAGATATTATCAGATCCACAACGAGTTGCTCCTCTGGATGCTATTTGCCTTGTGGGAACAGCAGACAGCCAGATCTTCCTCAGTTCAGTGGTTTTACTACATATATAAAATATCATCCAAGTGCAACAGAAAAATACTCAGAATAAGAATAGCACTAGAAAGACAACTGAGCCATAAATGACAGATGACAGTATAGCTGTTTCTTCAGAGAGTCTTGATTCAAGGAATGATGCAGCCGTGTCTTGATAAGTATTAAGAAAGAAGCAATGGAAGCCAGGCATTCCATTACATTGTCAAAGGCACACTAGGGAAAATCGTATGTCTCTGTTGGTTTGGAAGCAGGCAAGGAAGGAGAAAAATAAGCAAATATTCAATGACAGGAAAATATAAAAGCTATATTATAAGAGGAATTTAATATCTATAGAGGGAAACACTACTATATTTGTTGTTGTTGTCCAGTGCCATCAAGTTGGTACTGACTCATAGTGACCCTATGCACAACAGAACAAAACACTGCACGGTCCTGGGCCAACCTCACAATTGTTGCCACTTTTGAGCCCATTGATGCTGTCACCTTGCCAATCCATCTCACTTGGGGTCTTCCTCTTTTTCTCTGACCCTCCACCTTATCAAACATGATATCCTTCTTCAGAGAATGGTACCCCCTGACAATATGTCCAAAATATGAGAGACAAAGTTTGGACATCCTGACCTCCAAGGAGCACTCTGGATGCACTTCTTCCAAGACATATCTGTTTGTTCTTTTGGCAGCCCATGGCACTTTCAATGTTCTCCAACACAATAACTCAGATGCATCAATTCTTCTACGATTTTCCTTATTCACTATCCAACTTTCACATGCATATGAGGTTTCTGAAAATACCATGGCTTGGGTCAGGCACACCTAGTCCTCAAGCTGACATCTTTGCTCTTCAACACTTTAAAAAGGTCTTGTGCAGCAGATTTGCCTAACGCAATATATGGTTTGATTTCTTGACTGCTGCTTCCATGAGTGTTGATGGTTGATTCAAGAAAAATGAAGCCCTTGACAACTTCAGTCTTTTCTCCATTGATAAGAATGTTGTTTATTGGTCCAGTGGTGAAGATTTTTGTTTTCTTTATACTGGGATGTGATCCATACTGAAGGCTGTGTATCTTTGATCTTCATCAGTAAATATTTTAAATCCTCTTCACTTTCAGCAAGCAAGGTTGTATAATCTGCATATTGCAGGTTGTTAATAAGTCTTCCTCCAATCCTAATGCCACGTTGTTCTTCATATAAGCCAGCTTCTCAGATTATTTGTTCAGCATACAGTTGAATAAGTACAGTGAAAGAATACAAACTTGTCGTGCACCTTTCTTAATTTTAAACCATTCAGTGTTCCCATGTTCTGTTCGAACAACTGCCTCTTGGTTCAGGTACAGATTCCTCATGAGCACAATTAAGTGTTCCGGAGTACTCATACTTCGCAAGGTT